AGCTGTTAAATGGATTGCAGTTAAATGAATTAAAAAACAAAATAAATTTTAAAATGCTCCACTATTCATTTAAAGTACTTTAGTGCCTCATTAATCTATTTTAGATCACTCAGGCCCATAAGTGCCTATTGTCAAAAGCTGATAAAGTGTGAGGAATTGCTTTTCATACCCTAGAGTCAACTGAATACAGTAACACTTCTTAAGGTGTTAAGGTCAAGTCTATTGGGCACAAAGTGTCTTTGAAGCTTGTAGACTTTTTAAAACGAATATTAGGAGAAGTGATTTTTTACCTTTAGTCACACTTTAAAAATTATTTTAAAAATTTGAAAAATGAAATGGAAGAAATGTCTAGATTTTAAAGAACCTCATTTTTCCCTTTTTCAAGGTACTCTTAAGGTAAGACACAACAATGGTCCAATCTAAAAGATTTTCTGAATTAAAACTCAGGTGTAACTTCCTTTTTTCCTCTCTCTCTCTTTGTTAGTCTTTAAGAGTTGAAGTTATGAGTCTTTGGAACTATGAGGAATTTAAAATAAGATAAGTATTCATTAATGATTTTACAGGCAGACTTATACTTTTAAATTTATAAACATATGGTAGAGAGAACATAGATACTACTTCTGTTCTGTTTGACCTTGGGTAAGTCTCAATGTCCTTGAGTCTGTATTATGGTAAGTGGTGAATAGTAGTGGGGATGGCAGACTGAACAACGATGACACTCCCTTCTGTACCTACTGATCTCTGGTTTCTTTATAAGAAATGTAAAATAAGCAAAATCATAGAGGATAACATTGTAACACCCAGGACAGTAACACAGCAATGAGAAAACAAAAAACTAAGAGGTGTGTTGTTCAAATGTCTCTGTATGAATGGATTGGAGATGTTTAAAAATGGTAACTGTCTTTTTATCACTTATAATTAATCTAGGGACTTCTGCTTTTACTGTGGGACGCTGACTTGGTCCGAGACACCATTCAGAGCAACCCATTTTTACCGAGGCTTTGATTTAACAAGAGCTGGAAATCGAAAACAGTGGGAAAATCCATACTATCGGGGGTTCTCTTTGAGCAATGCTACCTAAGGAGGTGCATTGGAAACTTTGATCCCCCTTTTAGGTACCCCCTGCACCAAATCCATCACAGCACGGACTTTTGTCAGATCAATTAGGAAAGGTGCCCTCTTATCCTCAGGATAAAAACTCACGGGGCCAACTAATCTTTGAACTGCTAGTGTTGTCATTTTTTCCTGTCATTTGGAGATAGCTTGCCAGAAATAAAGGCAAAGTAGAGGAAAGCTGGTAAGAGGAGCAGAGGCTTGAAGACAACAGTCAGTTCCCTGGGTCTAGCCATGCTTGAACTCCTGGACTTTTTAGATACAGGAGCAAATAAATTCCCTTTTCAGCATAATCTAGATTAAATTGTTTTATGTCATTTTCTCTTAAAAGGCTATTAATAAGAAAAAGTATTAATAATATGGGATACCAACAATTTATCTATCAATGTTAATTACTATGCTTCATTCTAAGATACCAATGATTGTAATATGTATCATTTATTTAATAATATTTAAGAGGAAAAGATGCTATTGTAATATATTAAATATATGGATAAATTTTTAGATACATCCTTAATTTAGAAATATTAAATGCAAAAAATACTTTGGAATGAGAAAATATGAAAGTTTAAGCACTCTATTTTTTCTTAACTGTAGTAGTTGTTTAAATGAGAATTTTGTTTAAATGAGAATTTTGAAGGAAGATTGGGGGAGTGAGGAGAGAAAGCAGAGTAAAAATTTTGGAATAGGGATTCTTTTGGGTGAAATAAGATATCATGGAAGGAGATTGGAGGAAATACTTAGGAAAAGTAGAAAGCATCGTAGTGGTATTGGGTAATAGTACCAAGGTTCATGAGGCAAGCTAGGAGTAAGATGATGACAATGTTGTACACTGTACTGGGTACAGGAGATGTGATGGTCAACATAGCATTTGTGGTTCCTGCCTTCACTGGGCTTCACAGTCCAGTGGGCCAGCCTAGTGGATTCATCTCTATTTCTTTTTGTCACTTGCATCTTCCTAGGTCCCAGCTTCCAAGGATGCTGACTTTCTGCTGCGTCTTCTCCTCCCTAGGGAGCCCTATGGATAAGACCAAGCCATTCCACGCTGGCTCTCTCCAGAGAAATGTCCTTATCAATATGCTCTAGCATCTACTCCCTAGTCTTCTTTTTTAGCTTTAATATTTCCAATCTATCTATGAGTCATGCATTAGGTTCTTTTCTTTTCTTTTCTTTTTTTTTTATCAGTTCTGTATATGTAGGGTGGGGTTTGTCTCACTCACCTTGATATCCTACTGCCAAAATAGATACAGAAAAGAATGTATTCTGGGTTTGTTTAATGAATGCATTACATTTATAATTTATAAGATACATATTTTAAATCTCCTGATATATACTTAAAATATATAATTAAATAAAATCTAAAATGATATTACTTAGTGATGTCTAAGCTATTACCAACTTTTAAATACCATAAGTTTTTTCATGATAAACCTTCTTAGATTTCAGAATGACCAAAGTTTTCTTATACCAATTTATAACGGTCTGCTTTATTTTGTTAGAGAGCCCTTATTTTGAAATCACTTTTGTATTTTCTTTTTGCTTTTTCTTATCTTAGATATGAGTGCTTCAGAGCTAATTTTGATGATCTGTTGCAGTACCTTCTCTTTCATTGGTTTTCTTTCTAGGTTCCTTCTCTCCATCTCCCACTTTACTGATTATTATTTTTTACTCTCTTTCAGAAAAAAATTTTAAAATTTGTTTCTCTATTTTAACTTGCTTTAAAGTCTTTCTTCAAATAGGCTGGTCATATAGGTATAGAGGTTTCTACATATCTGTGCTCTAGAATTCAACTTGAGGCTGAAAGTGGTAGCTCACACCTATAATCCTAGTACTCTGAGGCTGAGGCTGGAGGATCCCTTGAGCTCAGGACTTAGAGACCAGCCTGAGTAAGAGTGAGACCTCATTTCTACTAAAAATAGAAAAAGTAGCTAGGTGTTATGGTGCGTATCTGTAGTCTCAGCTACTCAGGCGGCTGAGGCAGGAGGATCACTTGAGCCCAGGAATTTGAAGTTGCTGTGAGCTAGGCTGACGCCATGGCACTCTAGCCCAGGAAACAGAGTGAGAAAAAAAGAATTCAACTTGAAATTAAAATAATAGACAATGCAATTTTGGAAGAGAATTCAATTCTAATAAAGGATTCAATTCTAATTTGTTTATTTAATCATCCATCCATCCATCCATTTATACCTACCTTAATTTCCCCAAAGATAGAAAGTGGCTATGAGGAAATACACATAATGATGAAGCACAGTATTTCCAAAACTATATTCTGAGATATTAATAGATATTATGACAAAACTACTTCATGTTTAAATTCATCTGGAATTGTTGAGGTTTCCTTAAAATTCAGTACAAAGTGACTCTTGAGGATGACATGGGTTATAGTTATTAGGCAATTATTTCTCAAAAAGATTTTAAAAGGTTTTTTTATAAAGCATCTATTAACATATATAAAAACAAGTGTTCCAGCAAATCCAGTTGGATAAATGCTTAATTAGTTAAATATAAATAAAATCAGCAGCATGAAAAACCAAAATAGAGTAAATTATACTGGAAGGAAAAAGAAAACACTGTAAAGTTTTACATAATTAAGCTGTAAATTTGCTTCTGACCTTCTTGGAGGTCAAAGCAAAAGGGAAACATTGCTCGTTACCAAATTCTCACTGTAAGCAAAGGGAAAGGAATACTTCATTTTTGGGGGGGGCAGTCACACTGCTTACTGAATTATAACAAATGTGTTTCAGATGGATCAGATGAGGTCTTTGGGTGTAGTTGTCCTGATGTCAGCCTTTGCATATGGGACAGGAGAACATGCTGCATGAGTTTTAGCAGAATGGTGGTCCAGCAGTCAGGCAGTTTCTGTCTGTTCAGACGTGAGGTTCAGTGAAATAGCTCAAATGTGGAGCAGCACGTGGGAAAGAGGCAGAATCTGAATGGTAGAAAGATTTAGAGAAGTTGCTGGATGAGCTCATATAACCACATTTCCCCTATCCTCCACTTAGGGTTCAGTTTGAAGACACAGTCATTTGAGTCAAAACCAAATGTTATCTATCCATCTATCTATCTTCTATCTATTTATGTACTTATTCACCTTTTAAAGGTGAATTATTTATTTATTTATTTATTTAAGATATCATTTTAATTAATTAATTTAAGATATCATTTTAATTTTTTAAAATTAGGATGGGATTTTTATGTATGCAGGTTTATGTGATAGGTATTTTACCTATAAGGGAGCCCTGAAATAAAACTGTTGACCTAATCGCTAAGTTGGCACAATTCTTCATTTGTCTAGGACGTGGGAATTAGAACATCTTCTCATGGAAAATGTAGCTTTTAAAACAAGTCACTTTATGAAACTTGTCAACTTTCCAAAAATACTGGCTTGACCAATCCTAATTTTTCATCAGACATAGAACTTTATCACTAGTGCAGTAGTTTATTGATGATATTATGGAAGGATAATTATGTGCTATATTTCTTTATGTCATGAAAATAAATAATCCCTTATTTATCATTCTTTATGAATTATAACACAGAGGCTCAAACAAAAACTTTAGACATTAGAGAAAATTATTAACAATAGGAAATATTAGATTTTGATGGAGTTATACCAGCTATACCATCAGGTTAGAATAGTGTGTGAATACAGTAATTTAGTGAATCTCTCTGAGCATCAGTTTCCTTATCTATAAAATAGAAAAATATTAGTAAATAGCTTACAAGGCTGTGGTGAGGAATACATAAGACAATACAAGACAATTCTTGACATCTAATACATAATAATCAACCAATAATTTTAGGTATTATTATGATGATGATCAGGTATTTTATGATGAAACATAGACTCATTGACTATTGTATCACTGTGTTTTTCTTTTTGGTAGGAGAGAAGATTTTATTTGGAAATGCTGGTCATGAGACTCTGAAGGAGACTTCTAAGTTGGGAAGGTAGGGTAGAATGTTATATAGGGCTTTAGCAAGGGGGCTCACTGGAGTTCAACTGCTTTCAGAAATAGTTGATTAAGGATGATTCTGAGAGAGGGAGGAATTATTCTAGAAGATTAGCAGCCACTGATGGGGCAATTTTGATTTTTGTCTAGAATGATAGGAACAGTGAGGAGCTAAGTCATATGAAAGAGATAGTAGCGAGGAACAGAGAAACAATAGTTAATGAAATAATAGCTAAAAGCTTCCCAAGTCTGGGGAGATTTCCCTCATTGAATTCTTTTTTATTATTATAATTTTTTTTAGTGTATTATGGGGGTACAAGTGTTAAGGTTACATATATTGCCCATGCCCTCATTGAATTCTTCAATGTCAAGATTTCTGTTTGTTTCTTTTTAAATAAATATTTGTCTCTTTGTTGAATTTCTCAGTCTGATCATGAATTGTTTTCCTGATCTTGTTGAATAGTCTTTCTGTGTTCTCTTTTGTCTTGCTGAATTTCCATGAGATCATTATTTTGGATTTCTTCTTATGCATTTCATAGATTTTATTTATTTATTTTTGCATCTTTTTCTGGAGAATTATTGTGTTTCTTGAAGGCATTCTGTTTGCTTACTTTTCCATATTTGTTGTGTTCCTACTTGACATCTGTGTGTCTGATGTAATTGTTGCTTCTTCCAATTTTATGGAATAGCCTTCATAAAGAATGCCTTTTCCTGTAGATGTGTTCTATATTTTTAGTTAGGGAGGATCCTTTGGCTTTGACTCTAGGTGGGTGCAGTGGTGTAGTTTCTATTTGATTTCTTCAACTGTATTTAACATCAGTGGTGTCTGCAAGTATCTCAGTGGACTAGGCTGCAATTGTTTGTGGAAGCTGTGATGAAGCTGTGCTGGGGGCAGGGAGACCAGGTGGGCTGGCCTTTGGTCCCTGTGAGGGGGTGAGCCTGAGTGTGCAGCAGCTCCATTCTGGAGGGGTTGGGGTCACTAGTGGATGTGACAGGCCCTGAGTGGACCAGTCCTTGAGCCCATGGAAGGCATGGGAGGGTGCAGGGTGGCTTTGCTTTGGAGGAGGTAGGGTTGCCAGTGGCATCAGTGGGTCTTGGTCTGGTGGCTATCAGGTTCTGGGTAGTGCACATATCAGCTCTTTTCTGGGGCTGCCTTCCCACTGTGCTAGATTACCTGTGCCCCATGGCATAGGGCATTGCGTGAGATTGGGCGCCAGGGTCATGTCTGCACCACTGGGGTCAGCTGTTGGCATGATGCTTCAGCCTCCTGGGTGGATGTAGTGGGATGTTGGCAAGGCCTATTGGGCAGTATGCACGCTGGTGATGGCTCTCCTCTCAAGGTGGTGATATCCTGTGAAGACCTGGGTCTCTGGGGATAGGGCCAACCAGTGTGAATATCCTCCATGGAGTAACACAGTCATATGGACTCTAGGTAGTGCCCTGTACTGGTTCAGGGCCTGCAAGGGCTGTGGGGCTTTTATGTAGCTAGAATTGTGGGCATCTGTGTTGGGAATGCAGAGTGCTAAGCAGCTTCTGCTTACCTTCTTCCTGTAGTAGGGAGTCTGTCTTGGCTCCAAGCTGATCTAGGCCATGTGCTTCTCTTTCTTCTTTATGCTGCCATCCTAAGTCTCTGTGTTGCAGACAATCTTTGTCACTTTGCTGAATTCCAGTGTTCTCCCCAGACACTCTATCTGATGTGTGGTTGTCTATATAGTTTTGTTTTTTAATCTTTCTTTGTGGAGGATATGAGTGTTGCCCATCTTTATGACTGTAGCACTGTTTTTAAGATTGTACAAATAGCACACCATTCATTGGTACCCAAATGAGGCAAGATAAGTTCAACTGTCCTCTTTCTTATTTTTTTTAAACAGTTGGTTATTGTGAAACTGCAGAAAATAAATCTATATGAAAAGAGCTTATTTTCCTCAGACCTTATAGTCTCAGAGGATATTGGCATTCAACACTAAAATTCCAAAGCTAAGCTGTGCTTCCACTATTTATTTAATGAGGATTTGGGGTTTTTCATAAATTATAGTTTCATTGTTCCTTTATGAAATTCCATTAAGAATGTCATGTTTTTCTAATCTGTTTTTAGAATTCATTATCATTTTAGGATTTGGGAGAGTATTTATTAGTTGAATTGAGGGAAAAGTGGCAGTTTTAATGTAGTAGGCAGGACACATTAGAAATAGAGGGAACAATGAGAAAGGAGAAAAATAGTGTTTGTTATGGCTTCAATGCATTTTACTGTAGACATTTATCAAGCACATAGTTGGCACTTAAAATAACCTTACTGTATGTGTTTTCTTACAGATAAGGGAGAATGAGAGAATGAAGCCCTCAAGAGGAGATCAAGTTAAATAATTTATTAGAGCAATGATTTTCATTGCTGATGACTTATAAATGAAAAAAAAAAAAAAGCAATGACTTCATTTTATAGCAAGCAAAGATTCCAAAACAAAATGTCATGGTCTTGTAATGTTTAAAGATTATTTATCCAGACCATCCAAGACTCTGAACTGCTCCAGGTTAATATTGTTTCTAGAGTTCAGTGAGCGTAAATTCTATAGAGCACAATGACTGATAAAAGACACTTTAGTGTATTGTACGTGTGATTGTATTTACACCAATTTCAGCATCATCTATGACAATTGGTATGTCAGAGTCCCAGAAAGAAATGCTATGTTACAGTTTCTGGTTACTCCAAAGGTTTTTTGAAAAGTCCCACAAAATGATTAGTAAGTCTCATTAATTGATAAATCTACTTACTGATAATTTCTAAATTAAAAGCTCAGTAAAAATAAAAGTGATAAAAAGCCAATTCTATATGAAATCATGGCAGTAATGATACTGCTTATGAGCAAACATTGTACATATGTGTTCACAATAAGGTATTTCATAGCTTTTTATTTGTTCTGCAGAATTTTATTAAAAGTAATAATTAATCAACTCTTTTTTAATGTCAGCATTTCATTAAGAGCAGGAATAGTTAGAGCTATTGTTTCATATAGACCCAGACATATCTCAGGAAAGCCTAATTTACCTGACTTCATTGATCTTTTCCTTTCTTTTAAAATTTTCAAATGGAATCTCAAGTGAATAAATTAGTAAATTTATCATTTTCTCTATAATACTGTCATAAGGACAGTTTGATAAAACAGCTCATTATAGTCAATGATATGAAATATGAGTTCCATAAGCATATTTTCATCAAATGCTGCTACAGAAATTAGTTTGCTATTATCAAGAACTGTGGAATGCAAAAATAATATTAAGCATGCTATTATACTGGTTAAAATTTAGGATTGACCAAAGTGAATTAAAAACAAAATCTGAAATGGGTATTAACTGAGTAACACCTAAGTGGACACATAGGTACTACAGTAATAGGGTATTGGGCAGGTGGGAGGGGGGAGGGGGGCGGGTATATACATACATAATGAGTGAGATGTGCACCATCTGGGGGATGGTCATGATGGAGACTCAGACTTTTGGGGGGAGGGGGGGAAATGGGCATTTATTGAAACCTTAAAATCTGTACCCCCATAATATGCCGAAATAAAAAAACAAACAAATAAACAAACAAAAAAAACCAAAATCTGGTTGTGACCAATAAAAGAAAACCCAAACCAAAGTAACCCCCAAATTAGTTGACAAGTGACAATACCAGTCATGTAATAAATATGTTTAAGATAAGTTATCATCCCCCTCAAAGGTAGCCTTCAGGTCTATCTTTTTTATGCAGCCATGGTCCTGAAATGTGATTTTTTAAATCTTCTTTTGGAAAACTCAATCAAAGCCTATACACAATAGGACTGTCTATTATTTATAGTCATTGTTTAGGTGAATTAAGCAATTGGCAGTACCTATGATATCCAGATTTTGAATCTTCATTTTTCTTAAATGGGACATTTAAGATATAATGGAGAAGTTCTTTCATTTTTGATCAGTACATAATTGGAATATGGTGAATATACATAATCCAGTATGACTAATGATTGCTAATGTTAGCACATTTTATTCCTATCAATATCTATACCAGTTAACTATTGTTACAAAAGTAGCAGATAATTAATCACCCAAAACTTTGTGGCATACAAAAATAAGCATTTATTTAGCTGATATGAATGTTGGTAGCTCATGGAAATTGGGTATTCTTGGCTGGGGCAGCTGGCTGTGTGGGTCAGTTTCATAAATTTCTCATCATCCTTTTGGAATCAGCAGGGCTTTCTAGGCACGTTATTGCGATAGTAGAGACATAAAAGCACAAGTAAAAACATGGGAAGCCTCTTAAGGTCTAAGCTCACAAATGGTTCACAGTCTTTTTCAAATATTGGTCAAAACAATTATATGGCCAAACCCCAAATCAAGGGGTAGGGAAATATACTTCACCCCTTGAATGGGACAAACCACAAAACCACATGGCAAAGAGCATGAATATGGGGAGGGGTGAAGTATTGGGGCTGGAGATATGATTTACCATAACATCAATTCCTTTAAGATAACATCTCTAATCATTAGGGAAATGCAAATAAAAATTGCAATGAGATATCACTTATCTCCAGTAAGAATGGCCTTTATCAAAAAGTCCCCAAACAATAAATGTTGGTGTGGATGCAGAGAGATAGGAACACTCCTACACTGCTGGTGGGTCTGCAAATTAGTTCAACCTCAGTGGAAAGCAATATGGAGATACCTTAAAGTGATACAAGTAGATCTACCATTTGATCCAGCAATCCTGCTCCTGGGCATCTACCCAAAAGATCAAATGACACTCTACAGGAAAGACACCTGCACTCGAATGTTTATAGCAGCACAATTCACAATTACAAAGTTGTGGAAACAACCCAAGTGCCCATCAATACATGAGTGGATTAATAAAATGTGGTATATGTATACCATGGCGTACTATTCAGCTTTAAGAAACAATGGTGATATAGCACCTCTTGTATTTTCATGGATAGAGCTGGAACCCATTCTACTAAGTGAAGTATCCCAAGAATGGAAGAATGGTTTATCTTTTTTAAATTACTTTATTTAGATATGATTGATGCACAAAAAGTTGTGCATATTTAAAGTATATAACTTGATGAGTTTGGAGGTAAGTATATACCCATGAAACCATAATTTATGCTATAGATCTATCCGTCATGTCCAAAAGTTTTCTCCCTCCTCCTCCTCCTTGTAATACTTAACATAATATCTACCCTCTTAACCAGTTTTTAAGTATACAATATGATATTTTTAACTATTGGCATTATGCTGTATAGATCTCTAGGACTTATTCATCTTGCATACCCAAAACTTTGTACCCTTTAACTAATACCTCTATTTTTCCCTCACCTCAACCCCTAGAAAACAACATTCCACTCTTTACACATTATGAGTTTGACTATTTTAGATTCATCATATAAGTGATATAATGTAGTATTTGTCTTTCTGTGCTTTGTTTATTTCATATAGCATAATGCTCTTCCTCCAGGTTTCATCTATGTTTTTACAAATGGCAGGATTTTCTTCTTTTTAAAAGCTGAATTCCATTATATGCATATACCACATTTTCTTTACCCATCCTTCTGTTAATGGATATTGGCTATTGTGAATATTGCTGCAATAGACATAGGAGTGCAAACATATCTTTGAGATTCTTAATGTTGGCTATTGTGAATATTGCTGCAATAGACATGGGAGTGCAAACATATCTTTGAGATTCTTATTTCAATTCCTTTGGAAATATACACAGAAGTGGAGTTGCTGGATCATATGATAAGTCTATTTTTGATTTTTGGAGGAACCTCTATCTGTTTTCCATAGTGGTGTCACCAATACATATTGGGGTCAATATTATGCAATGGTTCCCTTTTCTTCATATGCCAAAATGTCTTAACTTTTTTGTTTTCTATAATAATTATAGCCATCATAACAGGTGTGAGGTGATATCTCATTGTGGTTTTGATTTGCATTCCTTTCTGATGATTAGTAATGTTGAATGAATACTTTTTCATATACCTATCAGCCATTTGCATATCTTCTTTGGAGAAATGTCTGTTCAGTTCTTTTGCTCATTTTGTAATTAAGTTTTTTTTCTTTGCTATTGAGTTGTAAAGTAATAGTTGATTTTAAAACACATTTAATCAAGTCATGTTGAAGACAAAGAAGATAAAAGGAGATTAAGAATTTGGTATGGCTGTTCAGTTTTTTTCACATACTTTTGGGGGTTCCAACTAATCCATTGTAATTTAAATTCCTGATGTATCATAACTATAAATCACTCAGCAGTGAAACTAGAAAATAAAATGTTTGCCATAACATTTTGTGAAATGTTAGAAATCTTAGATAAGATCATAGATAAAAATACATTTATGTTCTTTTGATTGTATCAGAAAGAAACAGGCTATTATTTGATTTAATTTTCCAACTTAGCCCCTTTGACCCCGTTCAAATGTACAATGTGACAAATAAATTCTAGAAAATTCTGTTTTGAATTATGTACAGAATAAATCATAAATAAAAGTAAAAATGAAAACTTTTATAGAAATACTTTGTTATTTAATAAACAGGAAACCTTAAGTCTCAAACATGTCATATTTGAATATAAAGAAAAGATTGCTCTGTTTAGTCTCTGTAAAATCTAAGAAGGTAGTGAGAAAAGAATAGAAGAATGAGTCAAAAGAGGGATAAATAGTAGACTCGAGAAGAAGCGGACAGAGGATGGTAAATACAAAGTAGATATCAGGGTAGTCTTGAGAATTACAAACAAAGATTTAGGGATTGTGTACAAAAGTTTTCTGGTAGCAATGAAAGAGAAGTTAGTGTTAGAAAGTCAGAAGGCAGAAAAGTCAAAATGTAATTTAGATTTTAGTATTTCATACTGGTAATGTATCTTTATGAAAACACTTCACCCACAGGAGAGCTCAGTAGCCTGGAATAGGGGATATTTTATGGAAAGGTAAGCTAAGCATCCTTGGACGCTGCTAGCTTTAGGTAGGGTTATTATTAAGACACATAAACTTACACAGTTGAACTGTGAAGAGGCTTTTTGTTTGAAGAAAAGTAGCAAAATAGTTCACAACAAAATGGAAAAATGTAGTCTATACAATAATGTCAAGTTGAATATATACAAGCAACAAAGTGATCACAATATTTCAGTCTGTATCTCAGTATATAGTCTATCTCCCTGGAAAAGCAAAAGGCAAACGTGTAAGAATGTTGTTACTTCCTTTAATGCTTTATTAAATGCTTTATTAATGCTTATTACTTTAAAGTAATGCTTACTTTAATAAAGAAAATATAGATCTGAGCATGACTTGAAAAGTAAAAACAAAGGGACATATTGGCAGATCTATAAAATATTGACTGACCTGTATTATCTGATTAAAAACAAAAGTCTCAGAAAGAGCTGATATAAAGATTCTTTGTGAAATCCAAGGGCACTAAAGATTGCCTTAGTGGTTTAGTATAGTGGTTAGTAAGAGCATGGACTTTGAATCTAAACAGAACTGGATTTGAATCCTAGGTCTGCTATTTCTTACCTAACGTAGATGACATCAGGCCAGTCATCCAAATATTTTGTCTTTATTTTAGAGATCAGTTATCTATCATCTCTTTAGAGATGATAATATCTACTTTATAATCTTGTTGAAAAAATAAAATGAATACTGTATATAATCAAAGCACATATACTAGTGCCTGGTTATAGAGTAAGATCTCAATAAATGTTAGCTATTATTATTACTATTACCAAGCATTCAGCTAATACAAAGAATGTAGATTTAAAAATGTGCATTTCTCATTCTTAGAGAAAAGACCTCTGCATCTGGCCTATTGTTAATTAAAATGATGAATGAATTTCTTAGGAATACATGTTCATCAATCTGTTGCATGCTTTATTAAAAGATTAGCATTGGGTTTCAAAGTCAGATGTCACTTGAGAAGTCTACATATAACTATTATTAAAGAGTCAGCACATAAGGACATAAGGACACCATGAAAAAATTCTGTGGTTTTTTCTATGTTCCCATTCCTGAAAACAACTTATCTGTTAGTTTAGGAAGACGGATTTGAAGACTATATATATAGATATAGATATAGATATAGATATAGATATAGATATAGATAGATATATATAGATATATATAGATATATATATAGATAGATATATAGATAGATAGATATAAAGATATATATATCTTTTCTAAGTTTTCTTTCACTACTGATCTATGGAGGGAGAACCAACTTAAGAGGAGGCTTCCTGCATTCTTGTATCCTGCCCATTGGTTGGGTTATAGATTTCTGGAGCTGAAGATATCAGTAGGAGCCTTGAGAAATTTTCCTG